TGCCAGGACAGTTCTGCTCTTATCTGGGTGTCCACATGGTTGCCGGAGCCTCTTAGCGGATAATCCTCAGCTTTTATTAATAACTCTCCAAGTGAAGACCCTCTGCCCGTCTGCATGCGGCACCGGGACGCCCGCTTGGCTGACTTAAAAAGCTTCAGGTGCAGCTGGTCTCCCTGCTCCAAGCCCCCTTTCTTGCTCATCACAGAATCTTTTAAGAGGTTTTGTTTCTCAAGGAGTCCAGGCTATCCTCATATTCACTAAGTGTCCTCCAACAGCCTTGAACTCCTGACCTTCCTGCTTCCACTTCCCAAGTGCAGGGACCTCGGTGTGCCACCGTACCTGGCTCTGCAGTGGACACTGAATGTTGGCTTCTGCCCGGGAAACTTGTTAAGCCCAGAGACTCTATCCTATCTGGCTGCTACTCTGTGCCAATGGACCCCAACAGCAAAGCCCACCCCACCCCCACCCCGACCCCCACCCAAGGCCTGGGACTGCTCAGGAGGAACATTCCAGACACCTGGCTCCTGTTGTGCTGGACTGGGGAGCCCGGAGTCAGCAGCCGAGATGACTGTAAAAGTTAAATTTTTCTATTTATTTCAAGAAAGGACAAGGCAGGTGGACTTGGACATTTTATATGAAACAGACAAACAGAAAATAGGACCAAGTAGTTAGTCACATTCGTCTCAACATTGAAGTTCAAGGCACCTACATTAAAGGAGGCCAAAGGGCGGTTTGGAGTGCACTTTGGTTTGTGTTGTCGTCGTGGTGGTCGTGTGTTTGTGTCGTTGTTTTCTGGAAAACCCCTGTCTGGTGGTAGAGAAGCAGGTGAGCCATGAGGCTGAGCATACCCAGGCCTCCCAGGGACCAGGGCTTCATCTGCCTGCCAGTTCCCAGACTGCAGCCACCGCAGCAGGGGCGTTGCTATCAGTCAGACCCCCGAGACCGCTTTGCCCTTCAGAGAAAAAGAAAAGAGAGAGGAGCGAGCAGCCACGGAGCCCCAGGGTGCTGAGTCTGTAGTGGGGCAGGCCAGGGCTTGGGAAATTGGTGGTTCAGGGGCCTGCCTTGCTCCAATGGGCTGGCAGGCATCTCACCTTCTTGAGGGAAGAGCCCATCCATTCCCCAGAGGCTGGCCAGGGGTCCTCTCAGAACCCGGGACCAGTTATACTTTCTAGTATCTGTTCTAGTTTACTTGGCAACACCAGCAAGCACTCTTTGCTCACGAGGATGCCACTGGGAGGATGGCTCTGCCAAAACCTCCACTCTGCAGCCTTTACATAGGAATGGGGGCCTTTGGGGTCCCTGCTCACACCTGCTGGTGTCCCTAGCCAACACAAGCACAGCTCTCCAGAGCCTGGTTGGTTGCCTCCCAGCTTTTAGTACTCTCTCCCCCTTTTCCTCTCAGATGACAACCCCCAGCGCGGGCCTGGAAGACTACCAGGGCCTCATTCTTACAATATACCTTGCATGGCCAAGTGGCTTAGTGGTTGCGGCCGTTCTCAGGTTTGTCATGCTGGGCTGGGGGGAATACCTAAGGCTATTTTGGGGTTTGGTGTGGCCATGTTGTGCCCACAACCTTCAGAGATGGAACTGGTTACCAGAGGGGTCTGCTGGAGGACCTGTTACCTTGCCTTCCATTCAAGGCAGGGTGAGAGGTTTGGAACCATGGGCCCTTGGGAGAATGAGCAGCGGCAGCCTGGGCCTGCTGCGGCTTTGATTGTCGGTTCATGTCGCGCTTGTTTTCTGTCTTGAAGAGAAAGTCTGATTAGTTCCTCCAGGCGGGTGGCCGGGGTGTGGGGAGTCTCTGCAGGGGTGGCAGGCAAGGCAGGCTGTTGCCTTGGATCTTGTTTCTTCTACACCCCCCCCCCCCCCCCCCCCCCCCCCCCCTCCCCCCCCCCCCCCCCCCCCCCCCCCCGTCTCTAGTTCTCTGCCAATCCCCCTCACCCACTTGATGCAAATCTTGGAGAAGGGAAACTGAGTCACCCATTCAGGCTGTGGTTGCTGCCAGATCTCACTGAATCTTCATTTCCCATCTGCTGGAGATGCATCAATTCTGAAGCCAAGTGGGGTGGGATGCCTCTGGGAGGAGCTGCCCAGGTGAGCCAGGTCCCCTGCTGGTCCTCAGTGACCCCAGGTAGGGCAGGTAGAAGGGAGCCGCTGATGCCTTGACTATGATGGCTGCGGGATCTTGGGAGTGGGGCTGTATGAAGGGGGGCTGCTGATCCAGCCACCCAACAGGTACACTGCCCACCAGATACCCACATTTCTTTCCTGGTACAAGCTGGACAATTCAGGAGCAAGGAATTGTGACAGTGGTTTCAGAGAACCTAGGGTGGCTTCCAGAAGTAGGAACAGCCCCAGGCTAGAGAGTTACCTGCACACAGGTCAGGGGAGACATGAAGAGAGCTGGTGCCCTTCCCCCGTGTGACACACCCTGCAAACCCCAGTATGATGAGAAAATGGGAGTGACCCCAGGGATGATGAAATTCCCAGAATCAGAGAAAAAAATACATTAAAATCTGAAAGAGGTAGAGGCAGGAGGATCAGAAATCCATGGTCATTCTCAGCTACATAGAGGGTTTGAGGCCAATCTAGGCTATGTGAGATCCTGTCTCAAAAAAAAAAAAAAAATCAAAGGAGGTAGTGTTGGAGGATCAGAGGTTCAGTGCAAGGCTCAAAACATCATGGTGGGGATGGGGTGGAGAAAAAGGAAAAAGCCTGAAATCTAGGAAGAGAGGAAAAGGACTCTTTTTGTCAGTTGTTCTTAAAGAATAAATGTGGATATTTCATACAAATAGCTGGAGCACTTCAAAAGAATCAGCAAATGCCTACAACATGGTGCGTGTTCGAACAGAGCCTCAGGCACCGTCAGCCGGCTGTGATGGATGGACAGGCTGGCAGTGTGGAGACTATGGGTTACTCTGGGTGTGGGGCAGCTGGGCTCGAGGAAACAAGTCCAGGGACATCCTGGGGCTTGGAGTACTGAGCCCAGCATGTGTCCTGTCAACCTGCCTCCCCACCCCACCACCTGAGCACAGACTGGGGAAAGATGTCTGTGTATGTCCGGTCCTGGGGGTTGTCAGGCTGGAAAGCGGACCATCACATCTTCTGATAATGTCTGGCTGCCTCATGGGACAGAGCTCACTGGCCGCTTCCTCTGCTGGGCCCGTTTGTCTCCCCTGGCCTTCAGTTTTCTCTTTACAGCTGGCCTTATTCTTTGGCCCCAGAGAGCAGCGGGTCCCTAGCATAAGGATGCAGGACATCTTCTGGCTCCGAGTCTTAGTCTCTACGTGATGGCACAGGCTGCTTCCTCTGATCCAGATGTGGCTTGCCATCTCTCAAGGCAGACTGACCCTAGTAGACAGGATCAGAGTCTGCCCAGGGACTGGTACAGCTGCTGAATGACCTGTCCCAGCAACATGACTCTGCCTGTCCCAGTGGTCCTGGCAAGAGCTCTCCAATCCAAGCAGTCCTTAGAGATGCCAGCTCCTCAGGGTTCTGGGCAGGAACAACTGCTACCCCTCCCATTCAGGCCCGGAAAATGCCTGCTGTGTGGGCAGCCACTTGGGGCAGGTTAGTAACCCACAAAAAAATCCCTCTTTCCCTTCACCCCCAAGGAGTTTAATCTCTTCTAATCAATTTAGCAGACTCGCTTGGTTGTAAACGGTAATGATTTGCATTTTTGAGCCTTTTTATCCTCCTTACAAAAAAAAAAAAAAAAAAACCTCCTCTCTCTGCTCTCTGGAAAGCCTGTGAATTGCTTGTTAGTGCTCACCCTGGCACCCATCCAGCCTCGGCATCAGCTGCTGTCACCTGCGCCACTGTCTGAGTATGGAACGTGGCTCACGGAAGGCCTTGCAGCCCTGACCCTGCCTGTGACATGTCATCTGGGTCTTGGGGGACACAGGCCGCCATGCCCACTGGAGCCCTTCCCTGCTGCCTCTGCACGGCTCCCCAGCTGCTGCATCCAATTTTCCTTGTTGTATTTTTCATAAGGAAGAGGCTCTGAGGCCCCGGCCTCCTCCCTGGTGTGTTCAGCAGAAAGCAGATGTCTGAAGAAGGCTGGCTTTGGGACTTGAACTGCCACTTGTCGGGGGCTGGGTGGGAAGGGTTCCGAGCATGGCTCTTTCCTTACTCCCCTTGCCAGCGGCAATGAAGGGAGGAAGTTCAGGCTAGGAGGCCATTCCAGACACACTGCCCATCCCTTCTGTAGTCCACACTGGCCCTTGCTACCCAGCAGCAGTTCCCCCATGGCCTCGAGGCCATTAGAACCTTCCAGACTCTACATGGAGGGGTTGCTCTTGCAGGGCCTTCGTGAAGCAAGTGACCCCAGTCACCCTCATTTTAAAGAGGGAAGGCAGAAGCGTCACATTTGCATAACAGGATCCTGGCTTCCTTGCTGGGGCTGAGCTGGGCAGCTAGCCTACTAGAAACCCTGGGAAGGGGGTCCTGAGAGACCTCATGCCCACTGAGGAGGAGAGGCATGGCTGCATGGAACAGGGGTGGGCTTCTGGCTCCAGGAAGGGAAGGCAGGAAGGACTCCCAGGTTATCAGCATCGCCCAGGGTAAGGAAGGGGTATTGTCCCAGCACCTGCTCCCCAAGGCAGGATCTCCCACACAGGGCCACAGCACGGCTCCAATTTAAGGAGGCGGGCCAGGGGGCAGCCTTTCAGGGAAGATGGAGGCTTCCTCAGGAAGAGGATGCAGATGAGGGAAGAAAGGGATCTTTTGATTCACGTCATGTCTGTGGAATTGAGTATGACTAATTAATAGATTTTATTCTTAGTAATCTCTTAAGCATTCCATACGTTGGGCCCCACGCCTGAGCTGAGCCTACCAGAAACTTCATTCGCAAAATGCAAATGCCTATGGTCCTGCTGCCTCTCCTTCCTTGCCTTTTCTTCCCCATTTTTTTTTTAAAGGAGGAAATTTAAAGTAAAATCGCCGTGTAATAGAAAAAGAGATTCCAATCGCTGCATCTAGTTACCACGAAGGGTAAACCACTTAACCAAAGAAGTGTCGCTGTCTTTTTTTTTTTTTTTAATTTAAACTTGCCTTAAATGCCACAGAATACACTCCTCAGGGCTGAGGCCACTGAGGTGGTTCCGGCTGGTTAGAGACTGAGGGGGAGGCTGGCCCTCCACACACCTCCCTGTGGAAATGTCAGGATCTCATAGGCTGGCTTCCCTCAACTTCTACTGTAACATGAGGCCAGAAGCCAGGTTCTCTGTCTGCTTTGGGAAACTAGGACAAAGGTTACACTTGGGATGCTGGGCAGTGGGGTTCTGGGGATCTAGCTCAGTGGTGGAGTGCTTGCTTTGCATGACTAGGTGCAGGACACAATCGCTAGGGCTCCCCCATCCCCAACACACACAGAGTAAAGGGTACCGGGAAAATGTTAAACACAAAAGGGCAGAAATGACATAGGGAAGGCTGTCAGGGGCTGCAGGGCCATGGCTGGGCAGTGCGCACCCTGACCAGCATTTAGTGCTCCTTAGGGGGCAATGCGTGGACTCTCCAGCTGCGTGTAAAATCCACTGAGCTCCACCCAAGCTTTGACATTGTGCCTGTGCCTGCCAAGGCCCGTCGGTCAGGTTTAGTGCAGTGGGGGAAGAAATTTACCACAGCCCAAGCCTCTAGCATTTGGCCCACAAGTTCCTGAATCTCCAGGTAGGGCCTTCCAGGCAGTTCCCAGGGTCTAGGTCACCTGCCATTCCTAAGAGTTTTCCTGGCCACCAGAGAAAGTAATCAGATCCTTCTGGGGCAGGGAATAGATAATAAAGGGAACATGGACGAGTCGAGAGGACAGGGCAGATTACAGCTGCAAGGTAGGTGTGGGGATCTGGGGTTTTACTTTCCTGGGGCCCTGAAGAAGGCTGGCACAGTGCCCTTGATGCCTGCTCAGCATCTGGACTCTCCTTCACATAGCTGTTCCTCACAGATGGGTCTCCTCCATGCCTGCCAAAGCTGCCAGAACTAGGGTGTTATTAGGGTCACTGGGGACAGCTGAGCTCCAGGACGCACATTTATACAGACCTGAATCTGAGGCTCCCTTGACCTCATTATGCGGGAAAATGACTTGGGATGAAGAGGGAAGAGAGGTCTCCTTTGGAATGATCCATGTCCACACCCCTCGGCCACTCCCTGGGGCTGGTGGGCTGGGGTCTCCATTTCGTATGATGACCCCTTGGGTTCTGATTAGGAGCCTGTACCCCTTTCCACTACTCTGGAGCACCTGCTGGGTCCATTTCTTTCAATCTCATCTCTTCACTGAAGGACCAGTTGGCTCTTTAATGTCCAGCAGAGGATGGCCCCCCAGGTACACTTCGGGCAGCTGCCTGGCCGCTTCTTCCTGCCTTTGCTTTGAACAGAGTGGCAGAGGTCTTTGGCAGATGTCTTTTGAAAACACCACTATCAGGAGCTGGACCCCTTCTCATCCGCTGCCCTCGGACCAGTGTCTTCCTTTGATGACTTTTTTCTCCAGTGCAGGGCAAAGCAACACATTGACAGATGATGACCCGGGCTCCCCGAGTATAGGACGAAGCAGACATCAGAACCGCAGGCCCCGCTCTTTCCTCCTTTCTGGATTTGCTGTCATTATTTTATCATCGTTTTAATCTCATGGCTCACCACACTGTGGTGTCCGTTGATAAATGATAACGGCATTGATTCCACAGGGGGGGGAATAAAATCTGAGCTCTTCCCAGGGCCCCGGTCAGTACCCTTCTAGAGGTTGATGCATTTTACAAAGAAATCTGATTTTTTTTCCCTCTTGAGAACAGAGCCCCTGGTGTGGGCATGGCTGAGATTGTGTGTGTGTGTGTGTGTGTGTGTGTGTGTGTATGTGGGTGTGTGTCTCCCAGGGATTTTCTGAAATTTTTTTTCTTTTTTCTGGGCTTTGTTTGAGCAGTCATGGAAACCAATAGGTCTAGCCAGCTGATGTGTGTGTGTGACACATATATTTATAAATAGTCCCTGCACTAATTACCTGTCCCAGGAGAAAGAGTAAACACTATCGTGGGGACAGGATCTATGGGGAAGGATAGATGGGGGCACTGGCCATCTAGGAAAGCTTTTCTCCACAGCAGGAGGGAGCAGGAAGGGTGACACAGGATGGACTCCAAAGCATCCTCAGCCAATTCTTCCTAACTCCACTGGGATGCTGATACCAGAGCCTCTAAGAAACAGCAATCCCTCCACCCGGGCTGAGGCCCCTACCCTCCACCTCACTCTCATCCCACACATGGTTTACTTACTGAATGATTTCTAGGAGAAAGCAAACTTTTTGCAATTCTATCATCTGAAGAAATGTCAAGGACTGACCCAAAGGTGCTGAGAGGACAGACACGCAGCTCTATCTACCCTTCTGTACTGAGACACGTGACATGGCAACAGGCGGGCAGACAGACGCACCTCCATGCGGCAGGGAAAGCCATGGCTTTCCTCAGAGCTTCTACGGAGTTCGGTGAATGGAACCAAAGCGCTCGGCATTGGAAGGAAAAGTTTGACTGTTTTTTTCTTTTCTTTTAATTGACTATGGTATTGTTCGGAGAATACCATGGAGGACGCCATATTTCTGCAGATCTGGAAAGCAAAGAGCACGGAAAGAGCCAGGGAAGAGACGTCAGGACAGTAGCTCCATAGCAAAGTCTTCTTCCCCGGACTCTTGTGAAAAACCCCAAAACCTTTCATTGAGCTGTCAGTGTGAGCAGCCGGCAGGGGGTGCGTGGGGGCTCCATGCCATCCTGTCCATCTGTCACATGATGCTCTCTGATGGCCCTGAATGGAGCTTGAGGTGTACACGAATGTTGTACAGGTAGTATCAATCTGGTTCAGGGGGGAAAAAGTCCCAATCCAACCCTTCACGCTCATGATCTGGTATAAATCACGAATTATGTCTCCAGCAATCTGAATTTCCCTCCTGCTTTCTATGTGTTTAATTTTTTTTTAATCCCACTATTTTGTTCACCAACCCTCCCCAAACTTTGCTTTCTGCTGGGAAAGTCACTGTGGAGTTTCTCTTCCTGGCTCCTGGTATTGCAGCGGGCTAGACAGAGCCACGTGAGCACACTGGGGGTGGCCGGCTTCATGTGTAGGAGTAGTCCACATCAGGGATGCCGCCATCCCGGTAGCCCCGTGTGGTGCCGTAGCCAATAGTGTGGGCACCCTTGCAGAGGCTGCTGCCATTGGAGGGGAAGATGGTGTGCACCACGTACTCCTCTTTGGAGCGGTACGGGTTGATGGGTAGCATCTGCAGTCCTGGGCCTCGGATTTCCAAAATGGAGTTATCTTTCTTGGTCCCTGACTCCATGTAGTCATCCTTTTTCCTGTTTCCCCTGTTGTAGACCCTCTCTCGGGTCAGCAGCTCACCAGCCCGGTGCACATACCAGCAGATGGCCCCAAGGACCAGGAAGAGAAAGACGAGAGCTACGGCACCACCAATGATGCCAGCCAGGGGCAGCCCTGCCATAGGGCCAGCATTCTGTTCCTGATTGAGTGTGGTGGTAGGGCCGTAGCTATCAGCCGTCTCTGCCTTGGCACACACAGGTGTCTCATCAGCCACATAGGTGTTGCCAGTTTCCATGGTGACCATGCAGATGATGTAGGTGGATTTGGGCTCCAGGGCCGTCAGCAAGTATTCTGTCTTGTCCCCCTGCACCAGGGTCTCTGTGATAGAACCCACAGCTGGGCTATGGCCCAGACGCAGCCAACTGAGCCGGAAAGAGGAGGCAGGTAGCATGGCCTTCCATGTGATTCGGATGGAGTCTGCTGTCAGTGGCTTCACCTGGATGACCAATGTCTTGGCACCATCACCGGTGCCCATGGGGTAGTCAATGTTGGAGTCAGGGAGGCGCAGTCCTGGCCTCTTGGCCTTGAGAGTAAACAGAGAACCTTGGGGCGTGGTGACAGCGGCTTGGTTGCTGGCTGTGGTCTTGGCAGCTGCATTGGCTGCATTGCCCTGTGACCCCGTCTCAAAGCACTCGTCCATCTCGCTGGTGATGTCTTTGATGGCCATGCCTCGGACCTTCTCAGGGCCCTGGCACATGAGGCCCCGCACATTGACCACTGCAGCGCGTGCCTTCACCCAGTCCCGAAGCCACATGAGGTTACAGCCACAGAACCAGGGGTTGTTCCTGAGAAGCAGCTGTGCCAGGTTCCCCAGGTCATCAAACAGGCCTCGAGGCAGTGTGGTGAGATTGTTATTGGACAAGTCCAACCTCTCCAGCTCCCTCATCTTGGCCAGCGTATTGTAGGGGATGTGGCTGATGGCATTGTCCTGCAAGTAGAGCTTCTGCAGGTGGGCACTAGGCAGGTTGAGGGGCGGGGCAGCCAGCGAGTTGCGCACCAGTGACAGCTCTGTGAGGTTCTGCAGGCGGCTGAAGGTGTCATCAGCAATGCGCTGGTTGGCCAGCAGGTTGCCATCCAGAACTAGGCGCCGCAGGCTGTTGAGACCCTTGAACGCATGCAGTGGGATGGTGGAGATGCGGTTGTCATCCAGCCGCAGCTCTTCCAGCGTGTGTGGCAGCCCCGATGGGATGCTGCTTAGGTGGTTCCGGCTCAGGAAAAGTAGCTTGAGCTGCTTGCTGTCGGCGAAAGCGTCCTCCTCAATGCTCACGGTGGAAACGGAGTTGTCATCCAGGTGCAGCTTCTCCAGCAGCGGGATGCGAGCCAATGAGTCCCTGGCGATGGTGCGCACATTGTTGTCCTGTAGATGTAGCTCTCGAAGGGAGCGGGGCAGGTTGATGGGGAATTCATCCAGGTCGTTCTCATACAGGTAGATGACCTGCACTTTGACCTTGGTCTTGAGGTCCTGAGGGATGCCTGCATTGTTGATCTGGTTGTTCTGTAGGTAGAGGGTGGTGGCATCATCAGGGATGTCTGAGGGGATGGACTTGAGTCCCCGGTCGTTGCAGTAGATGAAGCCATTGTCACAGCGGCACACCGATGGGCAGGTGGTGCTATCGATGACCTCCGTGAGGAAGGCAATGAGCCCATAGCAGAGAAACAGCCAGTCCCGCAGGTCCATGGTGGCCGTGGTCATCACAACAGTGGCTGTGATGGTGGCAGCAGGTGTGGTGGTAGTGGTGGCAGTAGGGTGTGCCACCACCATGGTGGACAGCTGGTGGAGGTCTGACCCACCTAACCTGGAGCCTCAATACCTGCAAGGAGCACAAGATAGGTGTGCTGAGTGTGAGACAGAGACAGGGCCCAGGGAGTCACCAGAGGTGGGCCTTGCAGGGCTGAGGCCAGGCAATTTTATGCCAACCTGGAGACAGGTAAGCTCCCTGGCCAGGATGACTAATGACTGATGTTCACTGTGACTCTCATCAGGAGGGTCTGGTCCTTGGGAGGAGCCGCCAACACCCTAGGGCATTTAGTGTGTGCTGCTGCAGCCTGGGCTGTGACCTCACCCTTTAAGGGTCACACAAATGGGGCCGGCCAGTGGGATGGATTTCCATCAGGACTGGGACAGACCTAATTCTGGCATGGACTCAGGGTCTGAAGGAAAAGCTTGTTTCTGGGAGGCTGTCAGCTCAAGAGGCGTGTCGCCAGAACCTCCAGGAAAGACGCAGCCAGCGGTGTCACTGGTGGGCAGCGGAGAACACTGAGCTCATTGCTGGGTGGTGAAACACCACGTCCTGTTTGTCAGCCATGTGTTTCAGACCCAGAAGAATGAGGTGTCAACAGATCTGATCCTGGCTCCGAGTCCTGTGCTTTCCACATTTCCCACAGGACATACCTAGTCTCTCCCCAGCTGAAATAACAGGGCACACACACGTGCACATGCACACGTACACTTACACATCAGCTTTCTTGATTTAAAGAAATGAGACAAATAAAGGAGGGAGACATTGTCAGCACGCTGAGGAAATTTTTCTGCAAGGTGTAATTTCAGTTTTCACAAATAGAAAAATTGCAGCATAGAGTTTTCTCATTATTTTACTGTTCACAGTGGTAAAAAATCAATTAAAGAGAAATTATCTTTCCATCTCAGTGAAAAAGGGTGTCTTCATACAGCCAGAAAAGGTCTGCAGTAAGACTCAGGGTCAAGGATGCTCCCGGGGCAGAATGTGATGGCTTCTCAAACCTGATCTGAGGGCCTGGCCCGGGAGGACAGCTCTGGAGTGCGGAGCAGTGTCCAGTGGGGACCTCGCCAGGATGCTCCAGGAACCAGATGGCTCCATTTCTCACACACATACCACACCCTCCCCTTACGTGTCCCTCTCTGCTCCTGGCAGCCTCTCTCTATCCAGGGAGCTCCTCCTCACCCTTCAGGACACGCGGAAACACTCCAGCCTTTCCTAGGTCCCCCGGTGGCCTCTGCCCTGTCCATACACTCATGCATCACTGTCCAGTCCACCCGTCTTCCTGCTCACCCACCCACCCTGCCTGGCCCACTTGCCCTGTTTCCACAGCTCCTCAGGTTTTGGGCTTCCTTGCACACTGAGCCCTCCACCTCTGCAGTGGCTGTGCAAGCCAGTAGCAGGCCCTATGACATTCTGCATCGTGTCCCTCTCCCTCTGAAGCAGCTGGACCCACCCTGCTGCCCCAAGACATACTTCCCTCCTCCCAGAATGGATCCTCAGAGACACATGCTGCCCACATTTCCCACAGGTCACCTCATCAAGGAACCCAGAGTATGTCTTTTCTCTGCTTAGTGTTTACCGACTCATCACCAATAAGCATGTGCTTTATTTTAGGGCTTTTGGAGTACCCTACCCATTAGGGTCTAGCCTAGTAGTTGGTACACAACAGGCCCTTATCCAGCATTTCTACAAAGAAATTGGTACTGGACCCTTCTGAAGGCACAGCTCTGCTGGCAGGAGGCTGTGGAATCCAGATGTGCTCCCAGGCCTAGAATTTCACTACATGGCTCCCACGCTCCACTGAGACCGAGGCCCAGCCAGCCTGGGCATCACTATGGGCTGGGGCTGAGGGCTCTCTTGTCCTCACCAGACTCCTGTTGCTCTGTGTGTGGTATGACATCCCAAGATGCTCCAGACCTGGCCAAATCCTCTTGCCAATCATCACCTTGGGATCCAAAGCTAAAGACAGCATGCACACCCAACAGAGCCAGACCCATCTGTATTCACAGGCAGCCTGCACAGCACATCCTCAGTGTGCTCCCGTGCCTGGCGGTCACATATAGTCTCTTCTACTTCACAACTTGAAATACAGAGAGGTAAGGGGTCCAGCCACTCCAAGGTCACAGACACCTAGACCTATAGCTGCACACCTGTGTCATCTTAAAGGAGCCTGAAGGTCCCACCACAAGTCACTGTGTGAACAGGGATGAGGAGTGGGACAGGGCTTCAGCTTGCTCCTAGGTGGCCTCACTTTGTCCCGGGGAGGTGGCCCAGCACCTCTGCCAGAGCCCACGTTTAGCCAGAAGACATACCTGCTCCTGGCCAGCTGATGAGTTCTGTCTTGAGGGACACAGGCAGCCTCTGCCCTTGCCGTTCTGGGCCAGTGCCCTGAGCAGGGCCAGACTTGTTAAGGCCAAAGCCAAGGCTGCCACCACAGTCTCTGGCGTGGACATCTGTTCTCCTCCTGTTAGCTCATGGCCACAGTCCCCAGCCTCCCGAGACTCGGCATCATAATGGAGTCTAAATTGCACCTCTCAGAGATGTTTGATGGATAACGGAGCAGCAGCGTGAGGCAGGGACCCAAGGCCTTTCCACCCCTATCTGCTGCCCATCCATCTTTCCCAAGCGTCCCTGGTCACCCTGCTTCCCCAAGGCCGACTCCAGTCTCAGCCCCAGGAGCTTCAGGAACAGGACAGACCTACCTGGGAGGGAGACGGCAGCCTCTCTAGAGGAGACTTAAACTATTCAGACGCCTGGTGGCCTTTTCATTCCCTTGTTGTTTCTGATAGTTTATGTGGTCATCAAATTAAACCTGGTAAATTGCCCAACTTTTACGGGATCGCTGGCTGTCATTGTGGGGATTACACAGACGGTGTGCCACGAGTTACAACCTGCCAGTTCTGTGATGGACAGCAGGATACGGACGCTTCACTAGAAGGGTGCAGAGAGACGGTTCAGGCTGGTGACCTCCCTTAGCTGGGGGGCTGAGAGGGGCTGGGGGGGGCTGGAGCAGTTGCTGGTTTCTGCCAATGGTCAGAAGAGAGTGCAGTGGGTTCGAGTCCTGCCTATACCGCTTCCAGACAGTGTGATTTAAGTAGGCTGTAAGTCCTCTCTGGGCTTCAGCTTCCTTGTCTATGTATGTGGCTGACAGTTGCCCTTACGTGAGAATTTAAAGTGATAAGATGAGATTATGTGTGCAGAGAATCCCACGTGCAGAACACCCTTCCTAAGAGCAGTGTGTCTCCACTTCCTTCTATACACAGGGATAGCCCCTGTGTTAACTGCCCCTCTGTGCTGCTGCTGCTGGTTTTTTTTTTTTTTTTTTTTTTTTAATGTGTGTTGGTGTTTTGCCATAGGTGTCGGGTCCCTTGGAACTGGAGTTACAGACAGTTGTGAACTGCCATGTGGGTGCTAGGAATTGAACCAGGGTCTGTCTGGAAGAACAGTCAGTGTTCTTAACCACTGAGCCATTTCTTCAGCCCCCCTTCTGTGCTTCTTCATGCCCTGTGCTCACTGTGTCTCCTGTGCTTGCACCCCCTTCCAGCCAGGGACAAAGAGCAACCATAGAGAGGGAGAAAGGGTGGGGCTGTGCTCAGCTTTCAAAACCTCAGGGCCCTTAGCAATCTGGCAGGCTGCAGGCACGGTCCCGCTTCCCTAGGTCCTTTGTACATGCGCCTGCCACTCTGGTCCCAGTGTGGGCTTGCCTTCAGCCTCACAGACCAGCATGCAGTCTGCCCGCAGGCCTCATCAGCTCTACTGCCTCCTTCTGGAAGCTTTCTCTGACCCTGATCCATCCTCCAGAGTCCAGCTCTGCTTCCACGCTTCCTGGCAGAGGCAGCTGAGCAGCGTCTGTAAACCACTACCAGCTGGGGAAATTCAATTCCTAGCTGTACTTTGTGGCCGTCCAGTGCCTGCACGGATGTGTCCCCAAGTCCTGTGAGGGATACTGACTGAGACCAGGTGCAGGGGCAGCCACAGATCCAGGGCCTAGCATGGACATGCTACAGAGGATGGCAGTTATTTTATGACCTTTGAGGGGACATATGAAGAGGGGGCACTGAGAAAACATGGCTGGGAAAATACGGAGGAATGGCCGGACCACCCTTGCCTCCTAGCCCAGCTCCTCTTTTTGTTTGTCGATGAAGACAGCTCCCTGAAGGGGTGAGGAACATCCTGATGCTGAGTATCAGGGAGGGATGCTCTTATTCCCAAAGAGGAAGACTTGTGCTGGAACTAACCCATGCCCTGGGAGAGCCTCCCTGGGTCTGTTTCCTTTGTTATGTGCTGCTGAGGATCCCACTCTTCTGGGAAGCAGGCCTGGCTGGACCTGGGGGAGAAGTCACTCCATACTGCTCCATGTCCCCAAGTGCGCTTCTCTTCTTGGAAGCTGGGCTCAATGTCTGTCTGTAACAGCCTCAATCCCCCTTTCCTCCTATTGCTCCCACAGACCTGGGGAGAGGCAGGTGTACTCCTGATGCCAAAGGCCCTGTGGCCACAGCCCGGTTTTTCTGGGGACACTGTCTCAGGCCTTGTGGCTGCCATGGAACTTAGTGATCCCATTTTCTATTTAAAGAGGTCATGGCAGGCACTTCCCAAAGCCAGCAAGGGAACATAATGTCATATGCCACAATGCTACTGACCCAAGCCTTGTGCTTCTCCCCACCCCCATTGTTGGGAGTGGGGATGAGGTCCCAGACACGGCTATTAGAAAGGGGTGACCTGTGATCATAGCACGCCTGTGGAGAGGGCAAATGCATGTACTCATGTGGATATAGGTTTCCTGAAGCTGAATAATGAAGACTGCCCTTGTGAACCCCAAATCTTCCAGTTTCTCCTCCTCCACCATCAAAGTGGAGCCGCTGGTGGTATCTTCTCCCCTCCTGGAATTCACTGTGACTTTTCCTAAATCTTCTGGGGCCTCCAGGTCCTTCCGAGGCTGAGCCTGATAATGAGGCAGATTAAGCTAGAAGCAGCATTCAGCTCCACCAGGGAGAAGGCTGAGAGGGCCCCGCCCACAGGGTGCGGTGATTGGCACCTACTACCTTGCTGGGGGTGTCTCTATCTCTGTCAAAAATTAATAAGCAGTCCCTTGGTGTCTCATCCAGTAGTTGGCAGCTAGCTTAGCTGCAAACAAGCCTGAGGGAGGAGGCCTCAGAATGGAGGCCTCCCAGGCAAGCTCCTCTCCTTAGAAGACTTGCCTTCTCTCAGCTGTGGCCTGTCTAGAGGGGTAGCTTCAGGTCTCAGGGCTTCATCTGAGAAACCGGACCAAGTCTGCTCCCGTGGGTCCTTGTGAGGATGGAACAGGCTACTTTCGGCTTAGCTGAGCACGCTTGGTCACAAAGAGAGATGGGTCACCACATTAGCCACATTACTTCACTGGTCCAGATGTGAGTTATAGATGAGGCCCAGGAACTTGAAGCTTGTCCAGCAGATGCCATGGGGGCACTTCCTGCATGCCCTGACCCTCGTCTTAGCTGCGCTGGAGTGCCAGCCAGTCTCACCCATCATCCCAAACAGCTCAGTTCCCAGTCCTTGTCCAGTGGTTGCACTCAGCATCTGTAATGCCCGGAGAGCCGGGGGCGGGGATTCTTTTCAAATCTAAAGTTAATTATTTTTCTAATTTCATGCCGCATGCATTATGTATCAGCCGTTATCACTGGCAGTAATTGCAGACAGGTATGCAAATCCGCCAGGAATGAACTGCGAGTTCACCTAAGCACGTGGGCCCTGGGTGGGACTGGGCATCAAGGATGTCCTCCCTGGCTTCAGAGAGAGCGAATCGCTTTAAAAAACAAGGCTTTCAAATCGTGTCTTAGGAGGTTAATTATATTGATAGCGGTGTTCGATATTAAACTATGCAGGCCAGGAAGGGGGAGGGAGACGAAAGGAGACACATGTAATTTTGTTTCTTTCTCTCGCAGCATCTCTTAATGATGGTCCTCCACCTGATACTGCCGCCCAGGTCCCTTTGGAGTAAAGCTGCCTCCACTAAGACTTAATTCCTTTGGGGAGGGGAAAAAAGAAGCAGATTTAATGCCAGTGGGAGGGAGAATGACAAGAAGGGGCCGTGCCAGCAGGGCAAGTGACAGACCTCAAGACCAGGGCTGGGTCTGGGATCTTTGTGGCTGAGCTCAGTGGCTACCTGTAGGAGCCTGGGCCACTCGAGGGGAAGAGAGGAGGAAGTGTGGAGAAAGTGCTGACCAGGAGGAATCCCAGGCAGACGTGGAGGCTGCGGCCTCTCAGGAGCAGGGGATCAATCGACCTTGCTCGGAATGAGGGTTTCTAATTGTGACCTCCGGTTTCCTGGGCATTCATTACGTTCTGGCTCTTCCCACTGAACCTAAACTTCTGCTTCTCAGGTGTGGTCTATCCTGTCCCCCCACAATGAGCCTGGCCCAGAGAGGCTCTGTAAACATCTTTTGTATCTGTATGTATGTGATGGCCAGAGGCTGCCATGGGATGTTATTTATTACTCTCCACCTTATCTTTTGAGACGGATCTCACAGAAATCAGAGCTCACTGACTGGCTAGGCTGGCTGCTCAGGGATCTCCAGAGAGCCACCTGTCTCTGGCCCCACCTCCCGCGCTAGGGTTACACACATGCACCACCATGCCTGTCTTTTATGTGGACACTGGGATCTAATGCCCAGGTCCTTGTACCTTATGCAGCAGGCACTTTACTGGTGGAGCCATCTCCCTACCCACATCTTGAATAAACGAGGCAGGCTCTAGAATCTGTAGCCTAGAACTAGGCAGCTGGGAAAAAGAGGAGGTGGAACCTTCCCATCAGCATCAGAGGCCATGGTGACCTGGTGTTCTCGTTATGGCAGTCCCAAGAGACAAAAAGTCCTGTCTCAACTATGAAGAGCTGGCCACCCACCCGGGCCTCAGAGCTCCTCAAATTCAGCTGCTCTGGAGAAGCAGGCCCAAGAAGGCCTGGCTGTGCCCCAACTTGGTGGCCAACTTGGCACTGTCCAGCGGCAGGCACATCTCCGTAAGTGCCCATGCCATGAGTGCATGAGGAGTAGAAAGCCGACAGCACCCTGGGAGTGGGAGGAAGAGGACGCGGAGCCCATCCACCTGCTCCTTATAGATGTGCAGGGACAGGCCCAGGAACAGCCTTCTAGTAATCTTTCTTCCGAGGTCTGAACTCTCAAACTCTTCCCCATAGGTTTGTAAGAGCAGGTGATGGGATGTGCCCCAGCTCTGGGCTCTTCTTAAGAGTCCACGGGGTCTCTTAAGAATAGCTGGCCTTGGCCGGGTGGTGGTGGCGCACGCCTTTAATCCCAGCACTCGGGAGGCAGAGGCAGGAGGATCTCTGTGAGTTTGAGGCCAGCCTGGTCTAGAAGAGCTAGTTCCAGGACAGGAACCAAAAGCCACGGAGAAATCCTGTCTCGAAAAATCCCCCCCCCCCCCAAAAAAAGAAAAAGAATAGCTGGCCTTGTTTCTTTCCAGCCGGTTATAGCCCATGTGTACACAGGAGAGCACACTCCAGGAGAGGACCTGCCCTTGTTTATACCACCCTCAGCCCATCCAGGGCACCTCTGCCCCCAAAGCCCAGTGTGTCCCTTTCTGTTTCTCCACCTCTGGGGAAGGCAAGGCTGCACAAAGCCAGCTGAGCAGATTTTTCCATCAGCGCTTCGCTTTGACAGGATTGCCGCAGGAGGTGGCTGTTGTTCCCCTCTGGCTTGGCCTGGCCCCAGGAATTATCCCCTAGCTCCTCCTAGGGGCTGAGGGGAAGCTGAAGATGCAGAGAGGAGAACCATATGCAGGCGGGGCCCAGCTGTGTGCTTGCGGCCCAGCTGCTAGGTTGTCGCGCCTTTATAATAAATAACAGCAAATAGCCCATCCACAGGGCATCCTTCACGCCAGTGGCTAATAACACGGCTATTAATGCCCCCGCAGACGGCGCGTGCAGCGCACGGCTCTGACGGATGTCCCAGGCCCTGGCGCAGTCATAAATCAGCCCCTCTCTTGGGGCAGAGTGTGGGAAAGTGTCATTTTCCATCTTGGTAATGAATTGGGGCTTCCCTGCCCTGCCCAGGGCGCTGAGGGGTTCTGAGGTTGCTGGGATTACTGTGTGCAGAGGTACTGCCCCTCCCCTCCGCATCCCTGGGAGTCCAGGAGGAGCTGGTCCAGCCAGTCACCTGCTATGTAGCTGTGGGGCATTCACTTGACCTCTCTGGACTTGTCTCTGCCCTCTAACCAACAAAAGGGATCACTGGAGGCCAGTGAGATGACGCTGGGGGAGTGGATCCTGGTCAGCCCTACCGCCATCTCTCTGAGCACAGTGGGGCAGGCCTGGAAGGAAGGGATCTTGGGATTCTTGCTAGTTCAAGACAGCAGGTATCAAAGCTGATGATGGCCTTGGTCCCCTAAGCTCTTGCCTATCCTATCACTAAGCCTCATGGCCGTCCCCTTTGTACAGAGCAGGTGGCCAGCAAGCCTGGCAGGGAGAGGCCCAGAAGGAAGACACCGCTGTGACTCATTCCCAGGTGGTCTCCTGTGCACCTGGCAGAGCCCAGCAGATGGATCCCTACCTTCCTGTTGGGGACCTGCAGAGGGCAGGACTCAGTTGTCCCTCCCATGCACTGTGCTCCCTCCTGGTGGGAAAAGACTCTTGTCACCATCTGGGCCACCAGGAAGTCCTGCTGGTCCCCCTGCCACAGGCTCTTACCTCCTCTGCTGCTGTTCCCTGGAGCCACTGGGTCCCGATGGGGTCACTGCTTCACAGTTCGGGCCACGCTCACATGCCTTGTCCCATGTCACCAACAAACCCAGAACCACTCAACCACAGACGGCACCTCCAGGGCAGCAGGAACAATGAGGCACGCAAAGAATAAGAAGGTCTTGAAGTCTTGCTTGTGGTTAGGCTTCAGTTGTGGCTGCAGGCCCCAAGTGGCATCTTTGGCACCCCAGGCACAGGCCCTGCAGGCTTGGCTCTCTGGAGTGAGAGGTATGTGTTCTGTGTGCACCCCCGGGGACTCCTGAGCAGGGCATGCCCCACAGCCCAGTGCCGGTCCCCGGGGAGTGTGGCCTCTCACGGGCCACCACTTCCACCGCAGCTCTTTGTAACTTTGGTGCTCTGTCCTCAGGCCACACCTCTCCTGAAATGCCTCTGTGGGGCTGTTACCCCTTTTTTCTTTACCAAGGTTCTTTTTTTTTCCTTTCTTTTTAAATCCCTTTAAGTCACTTGGCAGAATGGCTCAGTGCAGAGAGCGCTCTTGCGTGACAGAGCTGAGAGAGAGCCACTCAGGCTGCATCTGTGTGGGGGGGTCTATTACCCCTCTGAGGAGTTCAGATTCACCACAGGCTGCAGTCACCTCACCTCGCACTGCTGAGCTGTCAGGCCTGTGTGCCCCGCTTTGGGAAGCCACTTTGAGAGGGGGCTGGTCTGCTTGGCTGCTCCTGCTTGTAGAGAAGCTTCTGGAGTGCGTGAGGCAGAAGGGTGGGTGATTCCTGCTTCAGCCACTGGGTGCAGCTGTCCAGAATGGGGCCTTTCTCTCCTACTCCCCGCTTCTTCACCTGCCAAAGGCAACACAAGCAATCAAACCAAGGAAATGAAGAGCCCCAGGGACAAGTGCTACAGGCAGCCATGGCCACCGCCCGCTGTTCTCACCACTTTCCAGTAGCTGGGCTTGTTTGTTTCTTTTTCTTTTTCTCTTTCCGAGATAGCGTTTCTGTGCAAGTGCTCTACAGCTGAGCCACATCCCTAGATCCCCTTCCTTGCACAAATACTACTGTGCTGCACGCCTGGTCAGGGTCTGAGGTCATTGTTCCCACCACTGATCACGTTTTAAATCCAGGGAATATGCAGAACCCTTCCTTGTAACTGCCTGCAAGGACTAGGTGGAGAAAAATGAAGTTTGGAGGCTTGGCAAGATGACTTAGTGGGTAAAGACATCTAGCACCGAGCCTGAAGACCCGAGTTCAATCCCTGGGAGCCCACATGGTGGAAGGAGAGAACTGATCCTCACAGTTGTTCTCTGACCACACACAGAGGAAATAAATAAATAAGTGAATAATTTAAAAGTTTGGGAGCTCCTGGCCTTGCAGAGCCACACCCCAGCCTAGAGCAGCCTCCACTTCCCAGCACAAGCTTAACTAAGTGTCATTTTAAGGCTCCATCTGGGCTATCCTGGCCCTGGCCTCCAAAACAACTCAGCCTCTCTGGCTCACCTGGGGTCCACGACCTCCCTGCTCCAACTTCAGCTGTCTCCTCCTGTGGGGCCAGCCTTCCACACCCTGTTGCCCCAAGGAATACATTAGCAGCCAGCCAAGAGGGCCCAACTCTGGTAACTGTACCCCCTCCTCCACAGGCGCCCCCCTCCTTGGAAAGGAGCTTTAATGACAGCACAGGCTCTGGTTAGGCTCAGCTGCATCTAGGTGTCTTCCTTTGGAGGACCAAAGGTGGGTGGTTCAAGGCCTGCTTAGTGCCTGCAGCCTGCACACCTGGGGTGCATATTCAATACGGCCATGTGCTGAGCAGAGGTGGCTGTCCATGGCTGCAGCCCACAGAGACCAGGAAGAGTGAAGTATGTGGTCAGTGCATGAAGGACTGATGGATGGGGTAAGAGGAGCTCTCAGGGACGCTTCCCAGGAAGCCAGACAGCAGCTAAGAGGAGCCAGGGCCAGGCAGGGCTGCAGATGCCAAGCGGCAGGTGGGCACAGTCCCAGGCAGGTGCAGAATGAGGTTGGACAGGAGGGAAGATAAGCCTGTTCCTGCAGAGGGGCAGTGGTAGCTGCAGCCTAAGCCATTATTGCTATTACCACCCGCGTGATTTCATCCAATTATAAACTGTAATTTCTCTATGAAAGCGAGAGATGGAAAGAGTCCAGTGAGGTCATCTGCCTTCCTGGACAGGCCAAGGAAATTGTTTTATACTGCTAGGGGTGGGAGCAGGCAGCTAGACCACCACACACACACACACACACACACACACACACACACACAGGATGGGAGCTGTGTCCTTGGAGCCTGGAACCCCAACTGCCTGTCCATGACAGACACAAACCAGAGTTCTGCTTTTGAAATCACAGGCCCAGGAGGAAGGCAGATTCATCCCAGTGGCTGTTGCTTGATTCAGGCTCCTCCAGCTCTCAGGAGCTAGTCAGTGCTGGCTCACCACTCCTAAGGCCCCTACTCAGCCTGGCTTGCCATTGCAATCCCGACCTCCCATAGTTCCACTGCCCCCAATGAAACTAATTCATACATTGACATCTGTGCAATCACATGAGCAAATATGTCACGTACATAAAACTAGGCTCATGTGCAAAAATCCCAACACAGGAAAACATGGAAAACAGAAGTGTACACATATACAAACATATATGCACCCCTATGCACATTTAAATTTATGCATATATGCAGAAATGAACAATGCAATATATAGACAAACACATGATCAAGATGTTCACACCTTTGCACCCAGGAATGCATATAACACATTTCCTCAGGCATGCATGCATTACATGAACACACATTCACACACAGACATGAGAATACACAGAGATCGACAGGAATGTGCACACATACACATTTGTAACAGTGCACACATGTGACATGTGCGCCTTTTCCCCACTGTCTCTCCTTCCTGTGAGAATCCTCACATCATCCCTCTGGATATGTGGTCCCAGAGTTATAATGGCAGTGACGTAACAGGATAAAATGAGACCATGAAGCTGGAGACTCTAGTGCCTAGCTTAGTGCCATACACACTGTAGGTATTTAATAAATGCAACCAACATTCTCTTCATTCTTCTTTCTTGCTGGAAAAACCAAGCTTCTGAGGAAGGCTCTCCTGGGCCTGCTGCTTTCCCTGAGCCTCAAGGGGACCTCTAGTGTGTGGACAGGTTTGGCTAGAGTCTCCTTTCTGGAGGGGTCTCTTAGGTATCTTACACATGTACTGGCTTTCCAGGCCAGCCTGGCAGTGTGAGCCCTGGCTAGTGTTGTGACTCCTCCCACCTGCGGGTGCTTAACTATGCGGGGGGGGGGGGGGGGGGGGAGAAGCCACCTGCTGCCACTGCACCAAATGCATGTGGCCTGGGAGAAATAAGTAATGCACCTAAAGCAAGCACCTGCCCCAGAGCCCTGCTAGACTGTAAGACGCCATGCCCCTGCAGTTACTGTCTATGCTTTCGTGTGGGTCAACCGAGGAATCTGTTGGGCTCTAAGAGGCCAGAAATGGGGGTCCTCCTTAGCCCTACAGGGCAGCTCAGCTGAGCCCCTCTTTCCTGGACCTTCTTTGTATCCACACGCTGGTCTAATCGCTCTACCAGTAAACCATTTTTTTAAAGTCTACCAAGGAAAACCTTCCATCTGTCAGCTCTTTGTTATCAACAACAACTCTAGTGAGAGTATTGGCAAGAGAAAGACAACCATCTATCCCTATGATCCATTCAACCATGCATCCGTCTCACCTAGCAAACTCACTCAGTCATGTTCTAGGCACCGTACAGTACACTGGGGACCACAGGAGCCTAGTTCTATTGGGTCTCAGCCTTGCAGGGAAGCCAGTAGCTAGCAGATACTACAATGTGAGACACACTAGGTCCAGCCCAGGGGGAAAGGGATGAATTCTGGGGTGGGATGAGTGGGCCTCCTGGGGAAGATAACGCTGTCTTATAATTATGGCATCCTTCAGGCTCCCCTGAGAGTCACCTGAGAACTTGGTGGCAGGGCAGCCCACTTCTGTCCTTCAGGGCTTGCTGCCGAATTTGATGGGCCTTTAGCTTTACTGTTCACGCTGCCTTCCAGATCTACGCTTGCTGATATTAATTCCTGTATAGCAATTAGCTCACCTGTTTTGCTTCAACCTCTGGCTCGTAGGGATGGAGTTTCATGTACATGGTGTTAATCAGATAGCGGATGTTTGCTGTGCAAACCCAGGTGGGCTCTGTGGCTAGCCATTTAGCCAGTCACATTTGAAATGAAAACACGTTGCCCTGTAACTCAGAGGGCAGAGTTCCCCTCACAGCCAGCAGGCTGGAGATGGAGTGAGCTGGGAAAGCGGGATTTGCTTCCGTTCGGACTACAGGCTGCAGGCAACATCTGGATCCTACTTTCCTAGATAAAGAGGTTGTGATCAAACAGACTTTGTTCCGAGGCTGCTTACTGCCTCCGAGGATGGCCAGACACGGGCCTGCTTCTTTCTCTTTCATCACTGAGGGTGGTCACTCCCCTTAGCTGCTGGAGCCACCAGAGTAACAGGGCAGAGTGACAAGGGTGGAGGGCTGCAGTTAGAGTCACAAGCCAGGAAAGGAGCTAAACTGCTCGCAGAACAAGGTCAGCACAGTTGAGACCTGGGTAGGAAGAGTAACCGAGGCAGAGGGAACGGCATGGGAGAGTGGGAGGACCTGCACCGTCCGCAAGCCGAGAGCAAAGCTCTGCGCAATGGAGGGCAAGGATGGGGACCTGGTCCTGGGACACCCTTGAGAGCTGTGCTGAAGGTACTGGTCTTCATACCAAGAGTGACAGGGAGCCTGGCGGAAGTGTCCAGGCAGGGAATAACATGACCCAACTAGCAATGCAGACAAATCATTCTTGTGTGGAGAACTGGAGATTCTAGGAATGAGGGGACTAGGCTGGGGACAGTAAGCAGCAGGGTCACAGGGAAGGGGTTGACAACAGGAAGCCTCCAGGTTCTGCTCCCAGAAGACATGCCTGGTACTCAGTGGGTGCCAGCTATTTTCCTTGCCGGAGAGCAGCTGGGTGCTCCTGAGAGCACCTTAGAGGCCCAGTTTCCTAGGTGGTTCCCCAGAGCCTCAGCTCTTGGCAGTCAGATACAACCAGAACTGGGAGGCCAGGAGTGGAATCCCAGTCGTACATGTGTGCACGGCTGTGTGTACATATGTGTGCACGTGTGTGTAGGCCAGGCGACAGGCACCTTAGGTGTCATTCTTTGGATGCCCTGTGGGACAGCGCTACTCTGGAGATAAGTGCAGGACCTCTACCACAGATGCCTCTCCCTTCATGTGTGGGCAGCTGTGGTCACAGGTGGCCTGTGACTTTATTCCTATTCCCTGATGCTGGTGCTGGGAGGCCACACCAGACGTGAACAGATGCCACCTGCCCTGCAAGGGCTATGTCATCTCTTGGATGGCTCTGCTTCTGCAGGTACCAGGGCTAGGGAGAAAAGGGCCCTTTCTAGGATTTCTAGGATTCTGAGCTCCCAATGTAGCCAAGCAGGTGAAGTGATGAGAGCGGCTGTCAGGAGACTGGCATCACCCAGGCAGTGGGGACACAAGAGCAGAGAGGGGCCCAAGAGGCCCTGGTTGCCCAAAGTTGGTCTGTGACTTTGAAACCTCTGAGCAAGGGCAGTGGAGCTCCTGGGCTGCAGAGCTGTGAGTGGCCACCAAGCAGGGCAGTCCAAGGGTGGCTGGCACCCATCTGGATGGACAGATGGCTGTCATGGAGGCCCTGGCCTGGTCTGCTCCATTGCTCTTGGGAGAGGCAGTGACACGAGGACTAACGGATGGGGCTGGAGTGGCAGTCCCTGGTCCATGGGGAAGCTGCCGGTCCCCCG